TTGAAAATAATGCTATTGCTGGAACCTTCTCCCGACATTCAAACATCGTGGCAACTAATTGAGACCTCTGGCCACCGAATATCGAGACCAGAAAAAAATGTAACCATTTAAACTTTATTACCCCTTCTGATTCATCTCAGAATTCAATTATTTATTCCAAAGAAGATATCAATGACCACTGACAAATGTTTTGTGTTTGATCTCAGCATTTTGCTTGTGGAATTTGGATTACAAGTATTGTTGATTTGGTGGTAGAAACGTCTGCATTTGTGTTTTCCCATGGTAATGGAGATTTTGAAAGGAGTAACCTTGAGGGAGCTCTGGCAGAATCAGTACTCTAGCTTTTTTTTTCTTTTTTTCTAATTTATAAGAAATGAAATAGTTGTATGCCTGTTTTTGGGCTTATTTTCTCTTTTTCTTCATTGTTAATTTACAGTTTTGTGCGATGTATCGTTAAGGTTCGGAAATAAAGCGCTTAAAAAATCATTAAATGGGAACTCTTATTCTCTTCTGCTTCTTTTTGATGTTTGGAAGCGGTGAGGTGATAGATGAATATGAAATTATTGGAAACTTTTATTATCGTGTCTGCTTTCCATCTATTGCCATCTTTCTTGCATGTTCCTTTCTACTTTCTTGCATGGAAAAACTTAGACCTTCAGATTGAGAAGGAAAGTTGCGGGCTTAAAACCTTTTTTGAATGTCGTGATTGTTCCTTCAGGTATTTGATTTTTGATGTGGGATATGTGTTAGGCCGCTCCGGACAAGTTCCAGCCAATTCCATTACGGAACCGCTTATGAATTGAAAAACATGCAGAGTTACGCTTCCCGAACTCACCACCCAGGCGTGCGTGAGCATTAGAATGATGATTTTTGAGGGATTATTAGGGAAATTGAATGTAGGACTGTTTAGGGATTTTTTCCTTTTGATTTATAATTACTTTAAATAGTTGTTTCCTAGGGTTAAGAACATCTTTGAAATTGGCTTTGGGAAAATGGTAGATATATTAGCGTTTAGACGTTTTTGGCTCTTAGCGGCGTCTAAGATTTTGAGAGAGATTGATCCTTCTCTCATAATTGAAGGCTTTCTCTCGTTATTGAAGGGATCAACCTGTTATATCTTGCTATTTTCTGTTCCATTTCATCATAATAATAACAATAAATCTACTAGGTTTTCGTGTTTGTGAGATTTCTCGCTGTTTCCGAAGATTGATAAGGAAATATTTGAAAGATCTACGAGTGTAATCCTTTCAAAATTATTATTCATTATTAATTATTGTTTTTCATATTCAAATGTATTCAACTAATGAAGCTAGTAATTGGGTTTTGCTTGAGAGCGTATACAAAATGTCCCCAGCTCCCCAGTATACTTACGTAGGATCATATAGCTAGAACAAAAAAATAATGCCGTAGAACAGGCTGCTTTTTTAAAAAGAAAAAAAAAAAACATGCGGGAGAAGGTTGATTTTTGGTTCCTGGTTGTTCATAGCATTCCAGTGTGCGCACATCTCTTGATAACATACTGAGCTACCATAATATATTTTCAACCTTTACTGGCTTGAGAAG